AGGTTTACGTTTAGGTTAAGCTTAGATTTAATTTAGCAGAGGCGAGGAACAGGCCCCAATGTCGAAATTTAGCACAAACTCGGTCAGAGCTCTCTTTTCCTTCAGGAATTCCTTCTATTTTTCTTCCTGGAGTTTCAGCGACACCCAAGCCTCGCTATCACATTTCCAGGCGAAAATAAAAAGAGAGAAGTTAACCCACTCCCGCATCTGCAGGTTATTAATAGCCCTAAAAGCCCGGCCTTTTCATTGCCGAACGGGAAGCATTCATCACGCTCACCCATCCGCTGCACTCGCAGTCGATATGCGTCATCCACCCTCCGCCATCGGCTATGGACGGGCATCCATCCATCAGTCCCTGTTTATCCACTTCCAGGGAACGCTCGAGTGGAGGACCCGAATGGACGGTTCGAATGGAGGGCTGGACTGGATGGCTCGAATGGACGGTTCGAATGGAGGGCTGGACTGGATGGCTCGAATGGAGGGTTTGAATGGAGGGCTGTCCCTGCCGTGAACAAATGGGGAATGATCGGGAATTCGTGTTAGGTTGTTGTGGGTGGCGAAATTGGTTCGCACGAGAATTCGTGCGAGAGGGATGGTGTCGCGAAAATTTGAACCGTTCTAAAGTTCCTCCACGTGGAATGAAGATTCATGCAGAGTCGTGTGCGGCTGATATTCTGAGAGAAAGGGAAAAAAAACCATGTGGGAGAAAAAGGAAAGTAGAAAATGTAAATTCTTGTCAGACACATATTTCTTCAGAGATAAATTTCTCAGGAATCGGGTTGACGCTTCCTTCTTGGTAGAAGGGTGGAAAACCATTTCCAGGCTTCCACTTTGGCCAAAACAATGTCCTTCCTGGAAGAAGTGAATTATGATGATGTCAGGATTCGTAGGGACAATGGAAGGGGCAGTGACAACAACAATCCACCATTCCCACGGATGCATATTCATGCTGGAAGGGGGAAAAGAGGGAGGAGGGGGGGGGGGGGGTGGGAAGGGGGGGAAAGGAACTGAACCCCTTCTCTTGGCTTTGCCCCAATATCGCCGAGAAACCACTTCCACCGTGATGGATGTTGGACGAAGGCCCGCCCAAAGTAAACACCTTGGAAATGGTTTTCCACAGTGTTCAATACATCCATACTGATGAGCATCCCACCTCCCCCCTCCCCCCTCGACCCAAAAAAAAGAGGAAACGAAGCGGAACGGCCCAAAGCGCGTCCAGCTCCTCTCTCCCGTGCCCCACCTCCGTCGGCTCGGCCGACACGGCCTCGTTTCCGCTCGAGATGACATCGGATCCGACTCGGAAGAGGAGACCGGGATCCCCTAATGAGGACAAATCACCGTGCCGAAACTCAGCGATTAACTCCTAATGGCGAGGGCCGAGGGACACCCTCATACGTAATCACAAATCATGCGACAAATTACACAGCAAATAATGCTGTTATTTATTTAGACGATCGACGGACGATGATCGGAGTGGCAAGGGCCAAATCTCATTCGGGCCTTTCGGAAGTCTTTCCATAATAAAAAAAAATGGGGAAAGTGGGAACTGTCGAAGGTCTTTCGTGAAATCTCCACATTTTGGGAGATGGTGAAGAAATTTTCTGTCCCGTTCCAGAGAACGAAGAAAAAAAAATACGAATCGAGAATTAAAGATGTATCGGGCTGTCCTTTACGGCTGTCCTTTGTTTTCCCCAGGAAATGCCAGAATCGCGAGGAGACATCGTCATGGCAACGCCGTTCCGGTTCCCAGCGGGATTCATCGGGCTGGAGAACGATCCGGGAACGATCGTGGAAAAAAAGTTCCTGTTCCGGGAAGCCCGTTCCCGTTCTCGAGCCTTCAACGAGGTTGAAGGCTCGAGACGGTTTTGCGGGGAGTTTTGAAAGGGCCCCGAAATCCGATTAATGCTCCCGAAACCGCGCCCACGCTCGTCTCTTGCATCGGGATTTCGCAGGCTGGATCCGGATTTAAATAAGAAAAAAGGCCTGACTCGGGAGAAAGCCTTCTAAAACGCTTTCAGAAACTCGATTTAAGATCGAAGAGAGGAGGAAGGGAACGTCGAACGAGGATCGTGGGGGCACCGCCGTCGCGTCCGGGAGCCTCTGATCCGTCGGGGTCATTCGGAAGCTGGAATGGTTTCCTCGGAAGCTGGAATGGTTTCCGGACGCGGAACGATGGCATCGGGTGGACCTCTCGTCCGATTGCATCCGCTTCTCGTCCGATTGCGTCCTCGCCAGTGAGCACCGGGGAAGGGACTTGATAATGGCCTTCGTGGAAAAACCTGGCATGTGTCGGATTCCCCCCCCCCTCCCCCCCTCGTTGGCGAACGGTAAAAAAAAGCGCCGGTAACGACCGCTTTCGCTCACCCGATCGCCTGCCACGATTTACGCAATGAATCGCAAACGAATCGGCCTCTCGGGTATCGGAATGCACGTCAGGACACACATGCATCCATCCCCATGCCTCCATCCACATGCATCCATCATTCTCCGTTGTTTCCTCTCTCGCTTCCACTCCATCGAGGGTCCGGACGATGCTGCATTACATTAGCCACTCATTATTGCATTAAGCATCTCGTTCTCGCAATAGAGTCTTCCACTCTCCCCTCTTTCCCCCTCTTGCCCCTCTTGCCCCTCTTGCCCCTCCCCCCGCAAATCTTACGCTGACGGCTGCGATCATCCCGGCTCCGCTAAATCGCCGAGATTTAAGCGAAAAAACCAGGAACGATCGTCGCTTCGAAGCCGCGATCACTTCAGGCGATTCCGATGCGAATGCCGGTCGATCGACGGTGGGTTTTCTCATCGCCGGCGGTGCGAGAGACCGGCTCGAGCACATGCGACTCTCATCCCCGATTCTTTCATTATTTTAAAAAATATTTATTTCACTTTATTTGTTTAATTCTTTATTTACAGAAGCGATTCATCCGCGAATTTCCAGGAACCAACAACAAAAAAAAAACGCGATCACCCCGAGCCGAGCAGCGGACCCGGGTCGGTGGGCTCGAGTCGGTGGGCTCCGCGGCCCACATTTTCCGCATTGGGGCGGATGCTGGACCCCGGCCAAGCCCCCCCCCTTTCCATCACTCGAATGAACCGGCCCCCTTTTCCATCGCGAGGCGATCGATCGCATCGACTTTATTGCACCGACGTAGGAAAAATATATAGGAAGTTTCTCTCCGTCGATTTCGTATCACAAATTCCGTTTCGCCGGGTCGGGGGCGTCCGGTTCCGGTGGGCATTGCCTGAAACACGAGACGAAAAAAATTCAATAAATAAAATTTTTATTCAGGTTTTTGGGCGAAAAAAATGAAGGGATATTGACTTTGGGACGACGACAGGCGAGGCCGGGAGCGCGAAGCACGCGGCACTCCGTCTCGCTGACACCTGCAACGAACACATCCGTTCCTGTCAAAAGCAATCCACGGTCTGCCTCCAAAGCAATCCACAGTCTGCCTCGAAAACAATCCACAGTCTGCCTCGAAAACAATCCACAGTCTGCCTCGAAAGTAGACGGAAGAGAAGGAAAAGGTGGACGTTTCGTGCCCGTGAGACGCGTCTGGACTGATTCTTCGAAGTCGAGAGCCTGGAAGGTTCTCGAGAACTTTCCGGGTTCTCGAGAGGTTATGAAATGAAGTCGGTCCGGGAGCGATCCCTCGCCTTCTCCCTTTTCCTCTTCTCGCCTCGCGCGCGGCTATTTTTGCCGCTTTCATGGAGGAGATTCTCGAGGAATTGAATTGCCTCGGCTGGCGAGGGGTCGATAAGAGACGGCGGGTCGACTCGGGTCGACTCGGGTTGCCCGGGTCGGGGTCGGCTTCGTTCTTTCGTCACGCTCGTCGACGAGTTTGTCGTTAACAAGCCGGTTTTGAGGAATTCCACAACTTTTGTCTTCCATCGACTCTCGAGGCAAAGAACAAAAAAACTGGCAACACTTAATAATGTAACCGCTCACTTAATATAACCGCCCGCTTAATAATATAACCGCTCACTTAATAATATAACCGCCCGCTTAATAATATAACCGCTCACTTAATAATATAACCGCCCGCTTAATAATATAACCGCTCACTTAATAATATAACCGCCCCAGAGAGCCTCCCGGTGCTTTTAACCGAAGGGCTTTCTCGAATCAGAATCGAAAGAGCGGCGAGAATCGAGGAAGGAGCGAGACAAATCCCCCCATGAATGGCAGATTCCCAGCCGGAATACAACGAAAAGGGAGGAGATGGGAGGAGACGGGAGGCGAAGGGAGGAGATGGGAGGAGAAGGAAGTCGGGGCGCATCTAATAAAATTCCTGATGGATGCCTCATGCCAGGAAAGCGAAAAAAGATGACAGGAACGACGGAAATCCTGTTTCGGCCTTTCTTGTCGGCCTCCCCTTTTACAGTAAGTACACATCTATCCCTCTTCCCTCTTCGACGCGTCTTCTTTCTTTTCCCTCCCTTTCGCTCCCCGTTTCACAAAGACGATTGAAAACAGCTAAGCTGGGACACAATGAGTCGCGAGTCTAATCAGCTCCTCGCAGGGATCCCGCTCCCTCGAGATGCAAAGGGACTCACCCTACGAGACGGAGTTTCTCTCTCTCCGGGAAGGCACGTTCGGTCGACGACGCGGACGAAGGGCAAGGGCAAGGGCGAGGGCAAGGGCTAGACGGCGCTCTCTTGATGACCCCTGGGCGACGACGGCGAGAGGACGTGGACGGTCGGCGAGGACCTGAAGGACCTCACGGGCAGCGTCCTCGCGTCCCCGTGCATCAGCAGGTACCTCCCCTCCCCTCCCACGTATCCCTCCAGGGCCTGCAACAACGACGTCATCACCGACCACTCATCCGATCGGTCGATTCGGCGGGAACCTGGTGGCGGGAGGCGGGAGGCGGGAGCGACGGGCCATCCGATCGGCGGAAGCGCGCGAAGAAAAGCGGCCTTTCCTGCCTCCTCTCGCGTCCACACGACCGGCGACGGAATGGATCCGGACGGCTCGTCCCGCGCCGGCGACATCGACTTCGCTACGGAATCTCTGACGTCGATGAAATTCGTAGCGTTAATGCTCCGGCCACACGATCGATAGCGAGACTTCCGTAATGGAAAACTTTCCCGCCGAAAACGAGGGAGCCAGAACGACTACAGATTTTTTTTTCACAATCAACAGTCGCATCTGCAACATTTTCAAACGCCACGAGAGCGAGTCCGTCCGCAAGGTCCTCATCGCGACATTCGCGAGAGCAACGAAGACGCGACGCCCCCGCGAAACCGATGGCACATCGCACCGGATGCCTCTCAGACGTGCAAGATTGCCCTTTTACCGTGGGTTGAAGGACGGAGGGCGGCGGGTGAGCCGTGATGACGTCATCGAAGGACACCGACGTCATCGCCGCGCTCCTCCTCCTGGGGACCGTGCCGTGGATGGTGTTGCACTGGGGGAATTTGTACGTCTTCACCACCGCGTTCGGAGAAGCACCTGATGGAAATCGTTTCCCTTCGAGTCAATCCCGCGAATCACGCGAAGAAAAAATTCCTTTAATTTTAAGAATCTACGCTTAAAAAAAAAAATTTTTTTTTTTCCTTCTACCGGGTCTGAGAGGGACAACGTCAGGGCTGGAACCTTCGTCGTGTCCCGGCGTGCAACTCCCCTGCAGCGGCGTCTTGCTCTCCCCGCCCCGCGCGGAGGCGAGCCCCGACCCCGCCCCGGCCCCGCCCCCCCTTCTCCTGCAGAACCGAAGGGCGAGGAACGTCGAGAGCGAGATGCACACGAGGACCCCGATGACCCCGAACAGGGCTGCCAGGACGGGGGTCACGTGCGGCACGGCTCGGGAGAATCCCTCGTCTGAAAACAATAAAAATACTTTTTATTCATTTGTATTTATTTACATTTATTCATATTTATATTTATGTATTTATATATAAATATATATTAGTCTTCATTTTATCTTAGATATATATATTCTATATATATATGTAGCCAGAAGCTATTCTACCGGGAATTGGGAGCAAAACCCATAGAAGTGAAGAAGACCCCTGGCAAGACGGAACTGGAAGAATTCTGGTGAAACATCACGGAACCACACCGTCGATGCCACATGGCTCCGACGTCAGAGGGAGTCAGCAGACATTCCCGAAAAGAGTGACCCCCAGATTACAACATCTGATCTGAAGAAGGCGCTCGAACAAACAGCGAACTGCAAGACCCCGGGACAACGACCGTCCTCCGAACCTCCGGCTGAAGCAGCCGACAGCATCGCCACGCGAACGACTCGCCAGAGAAATGCAGAGAGCAGCGACGAACCCCTCGGAGACGCCGCAGGAGCCACCTCGGAATCGCAGGCCCATCACCTGCCTGCCAACCGTCGACAAAGTGTCGTCTTCCATCCTAGCAGCACGAATCGAACGACACGTCCCTGACGACAACATCACGTCAGAGGAGCAAAAGGGTCGCCGGAAGGGATACGACTCGGTATATATATATATTTTTTTTTATTATCATTTTATTTTTACTCAGTTCCTCATTTTCTAAATTTGTTGTGATTCGTCGCGAACCACTCCCGAGCGATCGTTCCGTTCCATCGACCGCTCCTTCCGCTCGTTCTCGGAGTGAAAAATCGCCCCTCGGGTGCGTTTTAGTGCTAATCCTTCTTCCGATCCCCATCGGTCGCAGGAGAAAAAATAAAATAAAATAATAATAAAAAACCGCGGGATTTTCCCTCAAAATCTTCCGCCAGCAAGGGGAACCACAATGAGAAAAAAAAACTCATTTAAAATACTTTAAAAAAAATTCATTTGAAGTCCATTTTAAAATCCATTCTGAATCCCACAGTGAAAACTCGTTAACGCTAAAAAAAAAAAAATTATTATTATAATTAAAGGGATACGATAAGGCGATTTCGGAGAGCGACGATCCTTCTCGTTATAATTGGCTTTTTATTCGGCGAAATTCGGAAACTTTGGCATTCCGTAAACGGAATTCCCCGAAAGATACGGAAATCGAATGAGAGGTTCATTCTTTTTATAGCAGAGGCTTTCCGGTTTTAATCCTCGGGTTTTAATCCTCGGCTTTAATCCTCTCCACAGGCACCTGGGAAGGGGGATTGAGAAGCGGCAAAAAAAAAAGAAACAAGGGATTCTCTCCCCGATTTTCTTGTCTCTCTCCACAAATTCCACAAATTGCTCCACGAGAATTGGGTTTTTGGGTTCTTGGGTTTGTTTGCTCTCGGGGAAGACAAACACATGATTTCTCGTGTGCCTAAGGCCGGCCGCACACCGGTGAAGCATGTATCAAGGTAAAACATGTATCAAACGTTTATGATACATGTATCAAACGTGTATGATACATGGCTCAAACATTCAGCCGCACACTGGAGAAACGTTTATCATATCGACCAACCAAAAGTACGAGTAGCGGTTGAAGGTTGCCCTGTACTCAGTGTCGGTGACCCGTACCCACAGTCACGTGTTTCCTGCCTTCATACATGATCTGATGATCAAGATGGCGGCAATCGAGGCGACGCAGAAGGATCGGCGACGACGAAATTCCGGACCGACGAGAACATCGAACCGATTGAAATTCCCTGACGATTTCTCTGCGGCGGACTATTCGCATTCGGCTGGGGCAAGATGGACTCGAATGCGCCCGTCGTTCCTTCCCGTCACGATTCAAATTCGTTGCCCCGAATGCCAAAAAATATTCCAAATTCTTCCTCCTTCCTGACGACCGCTAACCCACTCGCAAATCCCGAGAATTGCGGCGAAAAGATGGAACCTTCCGGCTTCGGGACGATCCGATCGGCCAGACGAGTAAATCTACTCGTAGACCCAGCACGTCCCGCTGTGGCAGTCCGTAACTCGATCTCTCGATGTTTCCCGAAGCCATATGGCGAATTCGATCGGCAACGTGCAAGAGAACTTCACGATGCATTGCACCGATTTTATATTTTTCTGGACTTCTTCCTCTCGACTTTGGATCGTTCTTTCCTCGGCAAAACTCCCGAGCTCAATCGACGAAACGGCGTCGAAGCATATGCAGAGATAGAGCAAGCGCCATCCTAAGAAGCTTGTATCGTGCATGCCTCTAACGGCTCGGACCACGCTTCACCGGTGTGCGGCCGGCCTAACGTCACATATCTCCGCGTGACCCTTTTTGTCCGAGCGGAAAAAGAAAAACAAATGGTTTCCAAAATCGAAGGAACGAATGGATTTTCCCTAGTTCCGCAACAGTTCCGTCATGAAAACGGTCGGTATGCAAATCAACGCCGCCATGGCACATAATGGTGCAGATCGCCCCTTGATATGCAAATCACATGTCTTTAAAAGCCGCTGAGCAATCCAAGCAATCCAAGCAGTCCAAGCAGTCCATTTCGAGGCGGCCGAATGCCTCAAGCAAAAAAAGCATCCCACCGAGCCATCGAGACGGCGCGCCCTCCGGCCCTCCGGCCATTCGCACAGCATCCACACGGGGCTTGTCGTATCGAGCATTTTTCAATTGGGATCCTTCATTTTTGGGAACCATTTCCAAATACCGGGTAGCCCATTTATGAATATACACAGCCTTGTTTGGCTATAGCTTGTGTAAATTTTCAGCAATTTCATTTAATATTTTAATTCAAGAATTCCTTAGGATTTTATTTGGCTGATTTTTATCGAGTTCCACCACGAGGTTGTTTGAGAAATTCCATTTTTTTTAATTGCGATTCGATCGAGATGCGCCTTCTGGTGAGAGCTTTTTTAAAGCGACTTAAGGAATTCATTGAGTCGTCGTTCGGCTCGCGTTCGAAGCATTTTGCGGTTCAAGTTGATGCCTCGCTCAAAATGTTCCCGAATGGCATCTCAGTGCCTTGTCAATCGCCGTATGCGGTCCCTCTGGTCCGCCCTCTCGCACGAGAGGGCGGACTTGAGGGCGGACCCGGGGACCGAATTCCGCTCGAAACATTCGCAAAACGATCACGGGACTTTTCGTCCATTCGTACCGAGCAGTAACCTTTGCCCGTTCGTTCACCGAGAATGACGTCAGAAAACGAAAAATGTAAATTTGAAACGGACAATGTGCATAACAAGGCACCACAAATCACATGCGCAAATGCTCAACGCAGATGCTCTTCACCATAGAAAAAAAA